GTATTAAATTGCAAGTATGCTTTGAAGCTTTATTCTGATGATTGATTTCTACAACTTAATGTAACTGATTGCTTGCTGAAATACTAGGTGTTATCTTAATGTTTTTGTAATTTGTGATTATTTGGTCTTTGGTCTCTTGTCAAATATCCACATTCCTCCTAAAAGTTATAATTCTTCTAGGATCTTTTTTTAAGAATTAAACTTGTGAATAGATTTGTAAAAGCACAAACGTATTTTGGTTGCTCAAGGAAAGAAAGAATAAGAGGAGTTGAATAGAAGGTTTTATTAAGTGAGATGGGAGGAGCAAATACTGAGAAACTAATGGTGCCGGCTTTTTGGCAAGTATGTGTGAATCAAAATACTACTAGTGTTACAAATGAGTTCTATTTTCCCCCTTATTGTATGTTTTTGTTTAGTTTGTAATACTTGGATATGGTCTAATAATACAACAGAAAATATATTATTAATAAAGAGAAGAAATGGGCAGCAAAAACCATGTGTGCCTCATCTGATTCTTTTGCTTGCTGACACGTGAGAGTTGCTAGACTTGAATCCGACAAAAGCTTGAATCCTGGATATTTATTAATGATTTATTTTTCCTCCAGCACCTATGAAGTAGCAACAGCTTGTGCCTTGGCTATAGGAGCAGACAAGTTGATATGCCTTATAGATGGTCCAATACTTGATGAGAATGGACGTTTAATTCATTTCTTGCCTCTTCAAGAAGCAGACATGCTAATTCGTAAACGGGCTGAGCAAAGTGAAGTAGCTGCTAACTATGTCAAAGTTGTTGATGAAGAAGGTTTCAACTCTCCTGAATATAACAATTTTAATGGAATAGTCAAACCACCACCTATTGGGCGTTTCACAGAATGGCATAAAATAACCTTCCACAATGGTGTTGGTTTTGAAAATGGAAATGGCTTAGAGTCCAGTGAGCAAGGTTTTGCCATTGGAGGTCAAGAGCGGTTAAGTCGAATGCATGGTTACTTGTCAGAGTTGGCTGCTGCTGCTTTTGTTTGCAGAGTGAGTCCATGGACTACCTTATTTTTATGACACGTGCTGTGCTTATTTTGAGTTTTTGATATATCAGCAATTGAGAGAAAAAAAAGCATTTTTCAAACCATGACCAGGCCAGGAGTTACATATTGTGTGTACATTTGTTTTTGTAACTGTATTGTATATGGAAGGATCTTAGAACTCTCTTAAAATATTGCTACTGTAAGGTGGTTTATTTGGAGTAACTTTCAAAATTCTTTGAGGAGTCTCTCCTTGGAAATTGAAATGGTAAAATATGGTTTAAAATTGCAATTGCTGCATGTTGCTGATAATACCAACTGCCATTTGTCAGGGTGGTGTTCAAAGAGTTCACTTGCTGGATGGAACTATTAGTGGAGTTTTGTTGTTGGAATTGTTTAAAAGAGACGGGATGGGAACAATGGTGGCTAGGTAAGCAACCTTCGTGAAATCCTCTGAACTAAGTTTTTTTTTTTTCTCTGTGTGAATTATTTTGTCCAAGAGTTGGTAACCTGTTTGGTAAGAGAAACAAGTGGTAAGGTATGGGGTAACCATAGTTTAGTGGGCATCCTAGTGGATTTTATGCTGGAGCTACCATACAGGCCACAAATGTGAGATTCAGGTTTATTTATAACCCCTTAGGGTAGCTAATTATCACATTGCTGTTTGTCGAGATTCTGATTGCATAAGGCTGGAAATACGTGGATTGGATCTGAACTCCATCTCTGAGCATTCTCTCTTTTTCTCTTCTATGAAACCATATGTTAAAAATGATTGGAGGATTAGTTGAAATAACTATGTTAGTGTTAGTACACAAGTTATAAATAGGTGTGATTTCATATATTTATTAGTAAGACATGGTCTATTTGGGTAAAGTTCCCTATCAGCAATTATAGGAAAAAAAGGAAGAAAAGGGTGAAATAAGTTTATCCATAAACTAAAACAAGCTTATGCATAAGTTTTGGAATTTGATTTTAGAGAAGATAACATTAGAGAACTACTTCAAATCAATTTACACATTAGCTAATTTTTGGTTATGGAGAAGTTTATTTAATTTTTCTTTCTTACTTTGTTCTCTTAGAAGTGTTTATAGAGAAGTTCATCCAAATAGACTTATGTTATATCGCTACAAAATTAAATTAATTCCAAAATCTATGATATCACGAGCTTCCTATGCACTTAGCATTATACTATTTGCAGTATGTTGTTCACGATGGTATTATACTAAATAAAGTTTTTTTCCCTTTCCATTTATTTCATTCTCTTATTTTTCAATAAATTTTGCAGTGATCTTTATGAAGGCACTCGGACAGCAGAGGTGAAAGATATTTCTGGAATAAAACAACTTATTCAGCCTTTGGAGGTATCTGGCATATTGGTTAAGCGGACTGATGATGAGGTTTGTCTAGTTATATGTTTTTTTTGTGTTGTGGATACTGTGGCTTACATGGTCGTGGTAATTTATCAAGATATCTCATATTTTAATCATTCTCTGTTTATAGCTCTTGCAAACATTGGATTCATTCGTTGTTGTGGAAAGAGAAGGTCACATAATTGCTTGTGCTGCCCTTTTTCCTCACTTTGAGGAGAAGTGCGGGGAAGTTGCTTGCATTGCAGTATCTCCTGATTGTCGTGGTCAAGGACAGGGTGACAAAATGCTTGGTATGCTATTTTTCTGTGGTTGATAGATAGGGCCCAACAAAATGAAAAGGAATTTTGAATATATATAACAAGGTATGAACTAAATCAGCATGAAAAAAACTAGAACAATTTGTTGGATTACAGCTTCTTTGCAAAACTTGAAATTAAGAAGTATAGACTATGAAACACCCAGAGGTAGACCGTTCTTCATTTAACCTTGTACTCACAAACGATTCTCCTCCCCCCCTCTATCTGTTCCTCCCTTCCACTATACCCTCCTCTCCCTTCTTACTGCATGATTCACGCATCCTCTCTTCTAACATTTCTCTGCCAATTGGCCGTTATGTTATGCCCTTCGTCTCTCCCTAAGTTCTCTCTCAGCTGCTGCTCCATGTTTCTTTCTTTCATGCACAAGCAGGCCTTGTTTCTTGGCCCCATCTATCCCCTCTCCTATTCCTTCATCCCCTTTTCTCCCTTTACTCCTATTCCTTCATCCCCTTTTCTCCCTTTACTCCTATATACGTTCATGATGGGCCTATCATTGATGATTATTGTGCTTGATGGTTAGTGAATGGCTGAAAACTTGCAGAATGCATTGACATATTGTGGCTATTTTTCATTGTTTGTGTATATTCATTTGATGGTAAACACAAATTGAGGCCTTATGAATTAGTAGAAATGTAAAGTCTTTCTATGTATGCCTAAATTATGATCAAGACTGCCTGAGATCATCGTTATTTATATTAACGATTTGGCCTTAGAACTCGTAGGTAAATTTATTGTTGGTAGTAATAACTATAGCTCATAACGAGAGCAATGTTTTTAATTTAAAGTTGTTTAAATAATGATGCTTTTATCTATTGCTTAACTTTTGTAAATAAGGTTTTGTATGTATCTCGAAGGATAAGTTGATAGGTTGATAGGTTGATAGGTTATAGATCATTTGCTTCCCATGCTCACTTCTCCTTTTTATAAAATATATACATTAGTGACTAGTGTAACACTCACTATTTCTCATAAATCTCAAGTTGATAGAAGAGCACATATGATCCATTTTCTCTTTCATCAACCATTACCTAACATTGTTTGTGTGCCTCAGCTAGGGCAACCTAACCAAACAAGTTGCATGGCCAAAATCATAGTCACACTATATCGATGTTGAGTTCCTTCTCTTGTGTATGAAGCCCACACATTGTCATCCACCCATTGGAACACCGCCCAGAAAGGTCCATTGGCCACTTCTCTTCCCAAATTTGACCTCAAAATCCTCATTCTACTAAAACAGGTGTATCTAGTCTTTCCCTTTAAGAAAAGAAAGGGAAATAATGTTGTCTTTCTCTTTATGGCTTTCAGAGTCCCTGTTTTTGTTTATTTTTGGGACTTCCGCTATTACAACTGAGAAACTAAACAAAAAAGTTATCTATCATGGGTTGCGTCTATGGAACTTTGGTTCTTGGGTTGCTATGATAATCTATGAAACTCAACGTCTTGGGAACCCTTAGAACCTTTAGAACTTCTTGCTCCTTTTGGAATAACACTTGAAGCATTTATTCTCATGATATTCAATGTTTGAATGATGCAGCCCACACATTAGCCTCCCTCAAACAAATCAATCATGATATGGTTTCTTATATTGCTGAAGCTCAAGTTGCACTGGAAGAATTAACGATATTCTTGGATGATGACTCTTTAGAAGCCACTATTAAAGGCCAATCATTCTTTACTCCTTGTGTTTCAACAACCAATGTTTCTCAATCAATTACTAATAGAAGTCCATGGATCTGTTATGAAAAAGGTACTCTAGGAATACCAATTCGAAGAATTACAGAACCGTAGGGGATTTAGCCAAAAATAATCCGGAACTGAATATTATTCTAGAAAGAAGGTACAAAGAAGAGTTTTAATGAAATGAATTATCACACACAAGTTGTTTAACACAGTAGCAGTTGTCTTCTTATATAATTGCTAATTAAACTGAAAAATTAACTCCTGACGTGGCACTAACTACTAACAAACAATTTCATAACAGGATCATTGACTTCCTTATTTTTTTCTGTACCGTCACCTAAATTTTCTCACCTTGTTACCTTAGCAGAAGGTCCAAAATTGCTTCTAGAGTAATTGGTCAAATTAATTCTCCTCCTTCATTGAATCAAAATTTTGTTATACGCATTCTTAGATATATCAAACATCCTTTTGGAGAAGGATTATTTTATGAGGACAAGGGAAACAATTAGGTACCTAGATAAGGGATTATGAATATTGTGACGGTCAGAGAGGATTTCCTATAGATAGACATTCTACTACTGAATATCGTGTACTTATTGGTGAAAATATTATTTTTTGGAAGAGCAAGTAATAGATGTTGTTGTCCGGGTTTGGTGCATAAGCTGAATATAGAGTTATGACATTAGTTACCTGTGAACTTGTATTGATTAACAAATCCTTCAAGAGTTGTAATTCTGCTAAACACAGCAAATGAAATTGTAATGTGATGATAAAGAAAAGTCTTCATATTGCTTCCAATCTTGTCTTTCATGAAAGAACTAAACATATAGAAATTGTATGTCACTTTCTTCAAGAGAAGGTGCTGTCCAGGACTTTTTTACTAAATTTGTCAATTTTTGTGATCAATGGGTAGATATTTTAACTAAATCCTTGGGAAGATTTTGAATTCAATTTGTATGTTCCATGCTTGCTGCATGCAATCTATATACCTTCCACCTTGAGGGGGAGAGTTAAAACAATGATGTTTTCATCTATTGCTCCGCTTTTTAAAGTTCCTTTCTTTTCCTTCCCTTATACGCTTCTCCCTTTTATAATATATACACATCAGTGGGTAGTGTAAGACTCACTAAGTTCTCAGGAATCTCAAGTAGAGTGTTAGAAATTTTAAACATGTTTGTGTCAAGATTGTGGTGTGGGCGTCAGATTTTGATATTATTGAGCAGCTGCATGATTTTAATCATTGATGCTGTTGTTCTGTAATCATGCTTGCCACATGTTTTCAGAAGAGTTATTTAATTATACTATAAAATATATGCAGATTATATGGAGAAGAAAGCATCGTATCTGGGACTGAATATGCTTTTCCTGCTAACTACACGCACAGCAGATTGGTAAGTAACTCCCCTGTTACATGTCATTTAAGCCTTGATTGTAATAAGTGTCATTTTTCACTTTTAGTGACTTGTCGCATACTCACTGATTTTTGAACACAGCTTATTGTTTGTTATCCTATATTGGTGGCATGTCTTTGCATGTTTCTTCTACCATTTCTAAAAACTATGTTGTCAAAAATGGATATTAGTGCAATTACGAAGTTGATACCTTGATATACATGGAATTCCTGAAAGAATTAGTTGTGCGTTGCAATGCCTACAAATTATGGAAATTGATTACTAACTTTTTTACAGGTTTGTGAGGCGTGGATTTTCAGAATGTTCTATTGATTATATTCCTGAAAAGAAAAGGAGAAAGATCAATCTTTCTCGCAATTCTAAGTATTATATGAAGAAGCTTCTACCAAATAAAAGTGGAATTACTGTTGGTGTAAAATCTGATTCAAGTTAGCTCCTCTTTATGCTGTCTTTTTTCTTATTGATTGGATGCAATATATTAGGTACTTTTATAAACATTCTTATAACAATAAGGAATCTGGATCATCAGTGTATATCGCAGGCAGGTCTTCCATTTGTAGCATTAAGTTTGTACTATTTTTTTTATCAGCAGAAACAATATATTTAATAAAGGGCATCAACTACTCTTCCTCCATGGCTAAAACTGAGAAACACTTAACAATAAAAAGTAACCATAAAAATATCAAATTTAATCCCTGTATACAGTAAGCTAAAAAGAGTGATAAATACCCTATCTCCAAAGCTATAGCAACTTGAGTACAACTTTAGAAAACAGTATGTCAGGGAAGACTAAACATTGACTAGTTGTGTAAATAAATGAATCCATGTAGTCTCTCAATAAAGACCAAGCAAAAGAAATAGTCTTGTCAATGATATTCGAGAATTAAAAGCACATTCATTTTGCATAACTTAATATTTCACAACACAATCAAGAGAACTCGGCATTTCTCTTTACTCTGGTTCAACCTTTCCTCTAATCTCAATAAATTGGATAAAACCAAATTGAAAAAAAGGCAAACTCTACCCACCCAGTAGGACATGCCACTGTATAGATAATGGGGAGAGTTAAAATTTTGTAGTTTAACAAATTAACATACCTTTTTTTGGTTTTCCATATCATCCCAGTAGTTCGAAAACTACTTTTATAAAATGGTAACTTTCTATAAAAATACTACTCAAAGCATCTCAACACGATTTTTTTTATGAGAAAAACTGTGTTTGGAGAAGTCTCAAAAGAAAAAGGGTATCATCTCAATATTGCAAAAGATTTACCTCCATTTTTTTTTTCTCGCCATCAGTAAACTAGAATAAAGGTAGTTGAAAATTCTCTTTTTCATGATACCACTAACTCAAACTTTCTGTGGTAAACAAAGTAGGTGTTAAGGGATCTGATTGTCTCAATCCTCTTTTAAGCCTAAATGTTTGTGTAGTAGAACTTCCATTCTCTAAAACTAATAAACTAGATTCTGAACAAACACTCAACTAAAAGATTCATCTATCCCTAAAACACAATCTCCTAAGCATATATATGATGAAGAAAGTTCCAAAAAAAAGAAATCATATGTCTTCTCATCATTCACCTTAAAGACTTTCTCTTTTTGCTTAATCAAGGGACTTATTTGTCACCGACACACTAAGTAATATACTTCTCCCCTCAATGAAGACACTTTTCTGTGATGAATCACACTTCTTGTAACTGTTTTTTATCTACTTGTAATTATTTTTACTATAATTCTGTATATATAACAACTGAAGAGATAATTCTGAAATGACCTAAATCTTTGTTGGTTTTCTATTACAGGAATAAGAACTATAAATAAACAATAAGTACCATTTGAACATATTCCTTTCCCACGAAATTGATAAAAAAAAAAGAGCTTAAACTTGAAATTAAATTAATCTACATGATAATTTTAATTTTCAACTCTTCAAAATGAGCAAACCTCTTTTATAATCTTCCCACATGGTCTTGAATTCAACAATACCTGACATTGTGCTCTTTCAAGGTTTTTAATCAAACCTCTTCTCAAAGAAAGACTTTAATTTGTCTTTTCCTTACTATGGATTCTCTAGCATTCTTTCTCAAGGTAAAGTTCCCTCAACATTATTTTATCCTCCAATTGACAATAAAGTGAAACTATTTAAAATTTCTATCTCCTTTCAACAGTCATTTAGAGCTATTTTTTTTACCGAGAGACTCATGTCAAATTGCAACTTTGCAAAACTCCCCTTGAAGTTTCACTTTATGTCTTTTTCACTTCACTCAAAACCACATCCCCCCTTTTTCTATAGAATTTATCTTCTAAGTTTCTACTTTTTATTTATTTAGTTTTTAATCTCCTGGTTTCAAAACAATATAGTGATGATTCTTTGCTGCTATTCTCAAGTGCAATTTGTAAAATGGTGATTTCCCAGTTGAAGGATGCTTATTACTTATTATGGTATGATTTTTGTTCTTCAATAATATTTCCAATTTAAGCTTCCATTCCTTTTGATTGTGATCTTTTTAAGCAAATTGAATAGACGAGAGTACATTAATGATTTTTCAGGATTACTCAAGGAGAAGAGTTATTTTTAATAGAAACAATTTATACAAATATACGAGTTTGAATTTTCAAAATAAATATGAAAACATTTGTATAGAAATTTACTTATTAGGTCTTTTATATAACTAATTAATGAAAACATATTAATTTATATTTATGTTCACCTTTTTATAATAATAAAATTATTACTATTATAATTATAAAAATAAATATAAATAATTTTTATTTATTTTATAGATGTTTTTATAAGTAACTATTTTAGGTTAAAAAATAATTAAATTGAAAAACTACTTAAAAAGTAAAATTGATAAAATAATTATTTTAATTTAAAAAGTAGTTGTCTAAAAAATAAAATTAGAAAAAAAAATATACATCAAAAGATTTATTATAACATAATAAATATGGATTATAATTTATAATATAATCTATTATATTATAAATATTTTAATAATATTTATATTTTTTATTACAATAAAGTAATTAAAATATAAATATAAATAAAATAAAAAATTATTAATGATAAATAAATATAATTTATTTTCCCTTTAATTTTTATTCTATTTTCACCTTTAAATTGTACTTAAATTGAGTAGTAGACCACCATTGGTGGTTGGCCTTTTATGGAGTTCTGTGCATCGAGATCCAGTCCAAAAGAAAAGTAAAATTATAGAGAAAAGCTAAAAACAAATTTGGATACAATAAAGGGATCATCTAGAAATTTAAAAAAATATTGAATTGTTAGTTTTTTCTCATAAAAAACAACATTAAAACAAATAAACCAGAAGACATCAATTATTTTTTCTCTTGTTATTTTCCTGTTCCTCACAGGTACCAATTCCATTTATCTGCGTGTATGTACTCCAACGTCTCCCAATTCACATCTTTGCCCCGCGATTCTTCTTCGATGCGTTACATCTTCTTCCGTCGATTCTTTGCTAATTTTCTTTCCTTTTTCTCCCAAGTCAACTAAATTTTGTGTCATCTATATTTCCAGGTTAGTTAATGTGCACTGATATAGTTTACACATCGCCGATTGTTTTCTCTGTTACTTTTATTAAGTGTCCTGTGCGAGTTGAAGAGTCGGCCACTTTTCCTTGTCATTGTATTTGTTTAATTAATGTAAGATTTATGTGTGCATAATGAATTTGAAACCGAATCAAAAGCATCAGTTGGGTTTTTATTTGAGGCGGTGATGTAATAACCCTTTGAGGTAATTCTGCACTGTTGTTAATGTTATGAGAGTTATGGAATCAGATGTAGAATTAGAGTAACTCTTTCTGTACGAGGACATGCGGTGCCATTTTGCTATGTTTGCAAGGACTTGTCTAATTGTATTGCCATTGCAAAAATAATGTGCATTTTTTTTTTCCTGGTCAAGATGCTTCTGACAATGTTTAACTTATATCACTTTTTCCTGATAAATAATATGAAAAGGTGATTATTAGGCTTTCCGGAGTTTCCACTGTTCAGAAGTTAGATGTCTTGTGGATGAGATTGAAGGTAATTGAAAATTGAAGTCAATGCTTGATGAGGGAGATCTTGGGTTCGATTTTTTTTGTTTTAAGAAAATATTTGAGGAAGAAAATGTGTTTAAACATGAAACTGTCTTGTCATTTGTATTTAACTTTTTTTTCACTCTCATGCCTGTAGGTAAGTTAAGGGAGAGTTTTTTGGTTGGTTGATGGACATGCAGAAGAAGACAGTCCTCAACTAAAACAAAAGCAGAGATTTGGCTGTCATAGAAAGGTTTCGGACTTATTTTAATGGGTGCTCCTAAGCAAAAGTGGACCGCAGAGGAAGAAGCGGCATTGAAAGCTGGAGTTGTCAAACATGGGGCTGGAAAATGGCGCACCATACTTACTGACCCAGAGTTCAGTTCCATTCTGCGCATGCGTTCTAATGTTGATCTCAAGGTAAGTGTCGGCCTAAAATGTTACTACTCTGCACATGTGAAATGACATTCTTGTTTACTGCATCAATATTTGCAGAGTTCTATTAGCTTTCAGAAAATTTCTAAATTTTAAGCATACCAGGGTGTATCATGTGTGTTTTAAACCGTGAAACAGGACAAATGGAGGAACATAAATGTGACAGCAATATGGGGATCAAGGCAGAAGGCAAAGCTTGCTCTTAAAAAGAACCTACTACCATCCCCAAAAATTGACAATAATCACATGGCCTTGAGTACCGCAGTTCAACGTGACAGAGGAGCAGCAGATCCCAAACCTCTGGCAGTTTCTGGTGCAATATCTCCTAATTCAAAGGAAAAAGTATCAAGGCTACAGAACTTCCAGTTAAATATATCTGCCATTTACTCTTGACTAGTAATTNATAAAAAAAAAAGAGCTTAAACTTGAAATTAAATTAATCTACATGATAATTTTAATTTTCAACTCTTCAAAATGAGCAAACCTCTTTTATAATCTTCCCACATGGTCTTGAATTCAACAATACCTGACATTGTGCTCTTTCAAGGTTTTTAATCAAACCTCTTCTCAAAGAAAGACTTTAATTTGTCTTTTCCTTACTATGGATTCTCTAGCATTCTTTCTCAAGGTAAAGTTCCCTCAACATTATTTTATCCTCCAATTGACAATAAAGTGAAACTATTTAAAATTTCTATCTCCTTTCAACAGTCATTTAGAGCTATTTTTTTTACCGAGAGACTCATGTCAAATTGCAACTTTGCAAAACTCCCCTTGAAGTTTCACTTTATGTCTTTTTCACTTCACTCAAAACCACATCCCCCCTTTTTCTATAGAATTTATCTTCTAAGTTTCTACTTTTTATTTATTTAGTTTTTAATCTCCTGGTTTCAAAACAATATAGTGATGATTCTTTGCTGCTATTCTCAAGTGCAATTTGTAAAATGGTGATTTCCCAGTTGAAGGATGCTTATTACTTATTATGGTATGATTTTTGTTCTTCAATAATATTTCCAATTTAAGCTTCCATTCCTTTTGATTGTGATCTTTTTAAGCAAATTGAATAGACGAGAGTACATTAATGATTTTTCAGGATTACTCAAGGAGAAGAGTTATTTTTAATAGAAACAATTTATACAAATATACGAGTTTGAATTTTCAAAATAAATATGAAAACATTTGTATAGAAATTTACTTATTAGGTCTTTTATATAACTAATTAATGAAAACATATTAATTTATATTTATGTTCACCTTTTTATAATAATAAAATTATTACTATTATAATTATAAAAATAAATATAAATAATTTTTATTTATTTTATAGATGTTTTTATAAGTAACTATTTTAGGTTAAAAAATAATTAAATTGAAAAACTACTTAAAAAGTAAAATTGATAAAATAATTATTTTAATTTAAAAAGTAGTTGTCTAAAAAATAAAATTAGAAAAAAAAATATACATCAAAAGATTTATTATAACATAATAAATATGGATTATAATTTATAATATAATCTATTATATTATAAATATTTTAATAATATTTATATTTTTTATTACAATAAAGTAATTAAAATATAAATATAAATAAAATAAAAAATTATTAATGATAAATAAATATAATTTATTTTCCCTTTAATTTTTATTCTATTTTCACCTTTAAATTGTACTTAAATTGAGTAGTAGACCACCATTGGTGGTTGGCCTTTTATGGAGTTCTGTGCATCGAGATCCAGTCCAAAAGAAAAGTAAAATTATAGAGAAAAGCTAAAAACAAATTTGGATACAATAAAGGTATCATCTAGAAATTTAAAAAAATATTGAATTGTTAGTTTTTTCTCATAAAAAACAACATTAAAACAAATAAACCAGAAGACATCAATTATTTTTTCTCTTGTTATTTTCCTGTTCCTCACAGGTACCAATTCCATTTATCTGCGTGTATGTACTCCAACGTCTCCCAATTCACATCTTTGCCCCGCGATTCTTCTTCGATGCGTTACATCTTCTTCCGTCGATTCTTTGCTAATTTTCTTTCCTTTTTCTCCCAAGTCAACTAAATTTTGTGTCATCTATATTTCCAGGTTAGTTAATGTGCACTGATATAGTTTACACATCGCCGATTGTTTTCTCTGTTACTTTTATTAAGTGTCCTGTGCGAGTTGAAGAGTCGGCCACTTTTCCTTGTCATTGTATTTGTTTAATTAATGTAAGATTTATGTGTGCATAATGAATTTGAAACCGAATCAAAAGCATCAGTTGGGTTTTTATTTGAGGCGGTGATGTAATAACCCTTTGAGGTAATTCTGCACTGTTGTTAATGTTATGATAGTTATGGAATCAGATGTAGAATTAGAGTAACTCTTTCTGTACGAGGACATGCGGTGCCATTTTGCTATGTTTGCAAGGACTTGTCTAATTGTATTGCCATTGCAAAAATAATGTGCATTTTTTTTTTCCTGGTCAAGATGCTTCTGACAATGTTTAACTTATATCACTTTTTCCTGATAAATAATATGAAAAGGTGATTATTAGGCTTTCCGGAGTTTCCACTGTTCAGAAGTTAGATGTCTTGTGGATGAGATTGAAGGTAATTGTAAATTGAAGTCAATGCTTGATGAGGGAGATCTTGGGTTCGATTTTTTTTGTTTTAAGAAAATATTTTAGGAAGAAAATGTGTTTAAACATGAAACTGTCTTGTCATTTGTATTTAACTTTTTTTTCACTCTCATGCCTGTAGGTAAGTTAAGGGAGAGTTTTTTGGTTGGTTGATGGACATGCAGAAGAAGACAGTCCTCAACTAAAACAAAAGCAGAGATTTGGCTGTCATAGAAAGGTTTCGGACTTATTTTAATGGGTGCTCCTAAGNCCTTTTTTTGGTTTTCCATATCATCCCAGTAGTTCGAAAACTACTTTTATAAAATGGTAACTTTCTATAAAAATACTACTCAAAGCATCTCAACACGATTTTTTTATGAGAAAAACTGTGTTTGGAGAAGTCTCAAAAGAAAAAGGGTATCATCTCAATATTGCAAAAGTTTTACCTCCATTTTTTTTTTCTCGCCATCAGTAAACTAGAATAAAGGTAGTTGAAAATTCTCTTTTTCATGATACCACTAACTCAAACTTTCTGTGGTAAACAAAGTAGGTGTTAAGGGATCTGATTGTCTCAATTCTCTTTTAAGCCTAAATGTTTGTGTAGTAGAACTTCCATTCTCTAAAACTAATAAACTAGATTCTGAACAAACACTCAACTAAAAGATTCATCTATCCCTAAAACACAATCTCCTAAGCATATATATGATGAAGAAAGTTCCAAAAAAAAGAAATCATATGTCTTCTCATCATTCACCTTAAAGACTTTCTCTTTTTGCTTAATCAAGGGACTTATTTGTCACCGACACACTAAGTAATATACTTCTCCCCTCAATGAAGTCACTTTTCTGTGATGAATCACACTTCTTGTAACTGTTTTTTATCTACTTGTAATTATTTTTACTATAATTCTGTATATATAACAACTGAAGAGATAATTCTGAAATGACCTAAATCTTTGTTGGTTTTCTATTACAGGAATAAGAACTATAAATAAACAATAAGTACCATTTGAACATATTCCTTTCCCACGAAATTGATAAAAAAAAAAGAGCTTAAACTTGAAATTAAATTAATCTACATGATAATTTTAATTTTCAACTCTTCAAAATGAGCAAACCTCTTTTATAATCTTCCCACATGGTCTTGAATTCAACAATACCTGACATTGTGCTCTTTCAAGGTTTTTAATCAAACCTCTTCTCAAAGAAAGACTTTAATTTGTCTTTTCCTTACTATGGATTCTCTAGCATTCTTTCTCAAGGTAAAGTTCCCTCAACATTATTTTATCCTCCAATTGACAATAAAGTGAAACTATTTAAAATTTCTATCTCCTTTCAACAGTCATTTAGAGCTATTTTTTTTACCGAGAGACTCATGTCAAATTGCAACTTTGCAAAACTCCCCTTGAAGTTTCACTTTATGTCTTTTTCACTTCACTCAAAACCACATCCCCCCTTTTTCTATAGAATTTATCTTCTAAGTTTCTACTTTTTATTTATTTAGTTTTTAATCTCCTGGTTTCAAAACAATATAGTGATGATTCTTTGCTGCTATTCTCAAGTGCAATTTGTAAAATGGTGATTTCCCAGTTGAAGGATGCTTATTACTTATTATGGTATGATTTTTGTTCTTCAATAATATTTCCAATTTAAGCTTCCATTCCTTTTGATTGTGATCTTTTTAAGCAAATTGAATAGACGAGAGTACATTAATGATTTTTCAGGATTACTCAAGGAGAAGAGTTATTTTTAATAGAAACAATTTATACAAATATACGAGTTTGAATTTTCAAAATAAATATGAAAACATTTGTATAGAAATTTACTTATTAGGTCTTTTATATAACTAATTAATGAAAACATATTAATTTATATTTATGTTCACCTTTTTATAATAATAAAATTATTACTATTATAATTATAAAAATAAATATAAATAATTTTTATTTATTTTATAGATGTTTTTATAAGTAACTATTTTAGGTTAAAAAATAATTAAATTGAAAAACTACTTAAAAAGTAAAATTGATAAAATAATTATTTTAATTTAAAAAGTAGTTGTCTAAAAAATAAAATTAGAAAAAAAAATATACATCAAAAGATTTATTATAACATAATAAATATGGATTATAATTTATAATATAATCTATTATATTATAAATATTTTAATAATATTTATATTTTTTATTACAATAAAGTAATTAAAATATAAATATAAATAAAATAAAAAATTATTAATGATAAATAAATATAATTTATTTTCCCTTTAATTTTTATTCTATTTTCACCTTTAAATTGTACTTAAATTGAGTAGTAGACCACCATTGGTGGTTGGCCTTTTATGGAGTTCTGTGCATCGAGATCCAGTCCAAAAGAAAAGTAAAATTATAGAGAAAAGCTAAAAACAAATTTGGATACAATAAAGGTATCATCTAGAAATTTAAAAAAATATTGAATTGTTAGTTTTTTCTCATAAAAAACAACATTAAAACAAATAAACCAGAAGACATCAATTATTTTTTCTCTTGTTATTTTCCTGTTCCTCACAGGTACCAATTCCATTTATCTGCGTGTATGTACTCCAACGTCTCCCAATTCACATCTTTGCCCCGCGATTCTTCTTCGATGCGTTACATCTTCTTCCGTCGATTCTTTGCTAATTTTCTTTCCTTTTTCTCCCAAGTCAACTAAATTTTGTGTCATCTATATTTCCAGGTTAGTTAATGTGCACTGATATAGTTTACACATCGCCGATTGTTTTCTCTGTTACTTTTATTAAGTGTCCTGTGCGAGTTGAAGAGTCGGCCACTTTTCCTTGTCATTGTATTTGTTTAATTAATGTAAGATTTATGTGTGCATAATGAATTTGAAACCGAATCAAAAGCATCAGTTGGGTTTTTATTTGAGGCGGTGATGTAATAACCCTTTGAGGTAATTCTGCACTGTTGTTAATGTTATGAGAGTTATGGAATCAGATGTAGAATTAGAGTAACTCTTTCTGTACGAGGACATGCGGTGCCATTTTGCTATGTTTGCAAGGACTTGTCTAATTGTATTGCCATTGCAAAAATAATGTGCATTTTTTTTTTCCTGGTCAAGATGCTTCTGACAATGTTTAACTTATATCACTTTTTCCTGATAAATAATATGAAAAGGTGATTATTAGGCTTTCCGGAGTTTCCACTGTTCAGAAGTTAGATGTCTTGTGGATGAGATTGAAGGTAATTGAAAATTGAAGTCAATGCTTGATGAGGGAGATCTTGGGTTCGATTTTTTTTGTTTTAAGAAAATATTTGAGGAAGAAAATGTGTTTAAACATGAAACTGTCTTGTCATTTGTATTTAACTTTTTTTTCACTCTCATGCCTGTAGGTAAGTTAAGGGAGAGTTTTTTGGTTGGTTGATGGACATGCAGAAGAAGACAGTCCTCAACTAAAACAAAAGCAGAGATTTGGCTGTCATAGAAAGGTTTCGGACTTATTTTAATGGGTGCTCCTAAGCAAAAGTGGACCGCAGAGGAAGAAGCGGCATTGAAAGCTGGAGTTGTCAAACATGGGGCTGGAAAATGGCGCACCATACTTACTGACCCAGAGTTCAGTTCCATTCTGCGCATGCGTTCTAATGTTGATCTCAAGGTAAGTGTCGGCCTAAAATGTTACTACTCTGCACATGTGAAATGACATTCTTGTTTACTGCATCAATATTTGCAGAGTTCTATTAGCTTTCAGAAAATTTCTAAATTTTAAGCATACCAGGGTGTATCATGTGTGTTTTAAACCGTGAAACAGGACAAATGGAGGAACATAAATGTGACAGCAATATGGGGATCAAGGCAGAAGGCAAAGCTTGCTCTTAAAAAGAACCTACTACCATCCCCAAAAATTGACAATAATCACATGGCCTTGAGTACCGCAGTTCAACGTGACAGAGGAGCAGCAGATCCCAAACCTCTGGCAGTTTCTGGTGCAATATCTCCTAATTCAAAGGAAAAAGTATCAAGGCTACAGAACTTCCAGTTAAATATATCTGCCATTTACTCTTGACTAGTAATTGGTCTACTCGGTTTAGTTGAGTTAATTTTTTAAAAACTGTATGAAGAAACATGTATAATTAGGTTTAAGATTGCACAATACAGTGCACTAGTATACAATTTTTTTAATAAATAGAAAATTAAACTAAGTTTCTAGAAATGGTTTTTTAATAAATAGAAAATTAAACTAAGTTTCTAGAAATGAGGAATCATGTATTTTGATTATTCATTTCTGTTGATTTTTGTTTATTTAATTTTATGATGAATTTGAACCTAGCAAGACAAAAATACACAGAAAGTATGATATTCAGTTGCCTATTGATAAATAGTTATCTTCTGTTGTTATCTCTGTTGACAATATTCCATCAAATTTTGTGGTAATTTTGTCAAAATATTAAAACTATTGTTAATTGTGACATTATGCATTTCAATGACAGCAGCTGTATGCTTTTTAATAATGTCAGGTTGGATAATATTATATTAGAGTCTATTATCAAGTTGAAGGAGCCGAAGGGTTCTGACAGGGCAGCAATTGCTTCATATATTGAGGTATTTGTACTAGAATCTAAGCATCTCAAGAAACAAATGATGATCAAAGTGTTAGTGCATGTAAACTTTAATTCTAAAAGAATATTTAATTTGTTTTGTGGTTGGCTTCTTTTTTTCCTGTTAATCTCTCATGAAAAGATTTAATTCAAGATTAGAGAGTAAATTGTCTGCATTCATTAATCTGCTATCAAATAATATATCTTTCCATGTAGACATTTTGCATTGATTGATTTATTACTTATATGTGACAAAGGAAATGTATGTGCCCGTGTTTTCTAATCTAGTTTGCAGTACACAACAAAATTCAGGAAAAAGTTTTGAAATATTTCTCTGGGTGGTCCATGGAGTGAGATATTGGATGTATTTAGTAGCTGATAAGTTAGCTTGTAAATGAACATAAGTACATAAATTTTATTGTATAGATAGGATTTGTGTTTTTTAGACAAAAATATATTATGTAATTATAATTTTATAATTTTTAACAAATAAGTAAATTCTTATTAAACATTTTAGTGCTTCTATTTCTTTTTTTAATGTCCTATATGTTTTTTGGATTTAGAAAAGGGATTTAGTTTATACTAGGTGATCTAATGTGTATTAATGAAATTTAATTTTTATTTATCTTATAAAACATAAATTTTAATTTTTAATTTAAACTACTGGTGATTTTTTTTAATTTTCATTGTATGATTTTCAAATAGTATCATGTAAAGAAAGGTTAGTTACTTCATTTATAATGTTAAATCTTTTTTTAATTTGAACTAAAAAGACTAAAAATTGTGATGACTAATTGTCAATGTAACATTCAAAATAGGTGATCATAGGTAAAAAGAAATTAAGAATAATAAGGAAATGTATTAAAATATAAATGATAGTAATAGAATAAAATAAGCTACAAGCTAGTGAAAGGAACCTCTATCTTATTAGCTATAAACTCTTAAAATTAGTTACTTTGAAGTACCTTACCAAACACTTTTGTGTTGGTAAAACTTGTTTATAAGCTAGTCAAATAAACTTGTAATTAGCTATTTTGTCTTACCAAAATTGCTAATTGTTTATTATCCATCAACAATTTCAACTTGTTATGACATGTAATCGAGAATTCCTTTCTGCGGCTATCAAAAGATTTTGACTTTTTAAATGTTTCTTTTTTCCAAGTCCAAGCTGGTGTCTCACATGTCAAGCATTAAAAGCTACTAACTCTTCTGCTCACCCATGTTTCGGAAATGTTTAGCATAGATCAACCAATAGTAATTTGATATTTATTGCTCTTTTTGTAATCTTGATTGGCTTATAGAATTATTAAATGCAGTAAATAATATCAATTTAAAAGTTTCATTTTGTGCTGGTCAGTACCAGTGCATGGAAGTAATGACAATTTTTCACCTCATCAGGATCAATACTGTTCTACACCAACCCTCAGAAAGTTACTGTCAACAAAACTGAAGCACATGGTGGCAAGTGGAAAATTAATGAAGGTAATTTTATTGTTAGTTAACTTCTTAACAAGACAGAATTTTGCTTGAATTATTGGACCCTATTTTCCTAATAAGCAGCATTTTTACTTACAAAACTTTGTAATGAAGCACAGTCAGCTTGGATAAATTTTAGTTATTGTATGACAGATACATTATTAACAACGTATTGATGTTATTTACTCAAGGTTATGAACAAAAAAATCATTTGTTACACCTAAGTAACTGGTTACATGTATCTACAGATGCAAAAAGACATATTTTCTTGTAGTAGTTGAACTATGCATATCTGACAGATTTTTCGCAAGAGTGATAAATCTATTTCAAATTTTGAATTGATAAAATATTTGCGTCTAATGCTAATTTAATTTTAGGTAAATATTGGGTATGTGATTAATATCAGTATTTGGTCAATTGATCCTGAGTGAGACATATCTAACGAGTAATGACAGGTAAAGCATAAGTACAGGATTGCAACAAATTTAACTATATCTGAGAAAAGAAGATGTTCTTCCTTGTTACTCCTGGAAGGAAGGCCCAAAGATTCTCCAAAAACTGAGAAGAATGGTGTCAACATTCTTTCAAAATCCGAAATTGATGCAGAGCTATCAAAAATGAAGGGTGTGACACCACAAGAAGCAGCAGCTGCTGCTGCAAAAGCAGTTGCTGAGGCGGAAGCTGCCATTGCCGAGGCTGAGGCAGCAGCTAGGGAGGCAGACACTGCAGAAGCCGAGGCAGAGGCTGCACGAGTGTTTGCAAAAGCAGCAATAAAGGCTCTAAAATGCAAGACGCTTCACATTTGGTAAGCTTCCTTTTCCTTACCAAGAAAATTTATCAATGCCTAAACTTGTGTTTACAGAATATTTTTTTCAATTAGAATGCTGTTGGAAAGTGTTTACCATTTCCAATGTAATTGCCCACCATTTCTTATTGCTTATTCAATTTAACAACCTTCTAGTTTATGCAGAGACTGTTTTCAAATTTGAAATCACAACTAACTAGTCAAGAAGGACAACTTCATCATTGAGTCAGGATTGTCCTCAGAATAGCATGTGACAATATCTTAGTTAAAATTCTCATCTCTCTTTTGACTCTAATTACTAGTGATCCTAATCTTAATTGTCAACAAAAACCTTGTCAATTGTGAAAAGATTCCAGTTTTGTTAACTAATACGGGTCAAAAGATTTTCTCCTTGCTTTTATTAGTACTACATTATTCTTGTTCCTGCAGAAAATTGGTTTGTGTCAGTTCTTGTAGCTAACATTTTGATTTTTCAAATGTGTACAGATGGTGTCAGCTTCTGCAGTGCTGATATGACCCGTATATCAGTTTGAGCTCATAATTCTGCTGCTACACTTCCTGCATGTATTCAACTACTGTATATAATTTAGGTTTGTAAATTTGGAACACGCGGTGGTTGATCCATGAAACATTTTGTCAGGAGTCCTTAAGAGCGTATTATTTATTATTTTTTTTTTACCTTATTTTGAAGAAAGACAATTGAGGCGAGAATACAAAGTATCAGTGGAAGAGAGGAAGTAGTGATTGAGTATTATGATGGAACCTTTGTGATGGACATCCTATAATAGTAAATAGAAGAATACAGATTTTATTAGAATTTTCTGATAACAAAATTGAGTGTCACTTTCTCGTAGGTCTTATACAAATCCCTTTTTTTTTAACTTATTTGAGATTTGTAGAAAAAGCTAAATTAGATTAGTATTCTACAAAGAGTTTGGTTTTGTGATCTAAATTTACTGCTTGAATACGAAAGTGTGAATTAAATTGTGCTTTATTTTTATATCAAAAATTAGTTTTTTTAAAAGATAATGTTTTAAATACTTCTAGTTTGGCATGATCGGTGGTAAGGTAAAACTATGATTTTATGTATTCACAAATAATTGTATGCGCAGTGTATCGGACAAATTATTCTAAAAATAAGGCAAATGCAGAATAAATGTATTTTTTAGATAAAAAAATACAATACTTGAAAATATAATTTCTAACTGTTTCTTTTTTAAAATAAAACAAGAAATAATTTATTATATTTTAATTTAGAACTCCTATAATGAAATTGTAAACTAGTCAAAACTGCAATAAAATTAAAAGATTGAAAAGAACAACTATTGGTTCTTTTAAAAGATTTACCTAATTCTAAGAATTTTAAAAGAGCTTGGCAAAATTCCCTCCAACTTTTAATGGAAATCATATTGGTTTGATTAGCAAAATTTACAACCTTGCATGATACACTTGTGATGAATAGCACTACTCAATGATCAGGTGTAGTAATTAGTATATATTTGTTAGGTATTTTGCTATCATGCTCTTGCGCCAAACATCAAACATGGAAGGTATAGAATATGTACGTAATTTCATTTAATATGAAATTAGCCAAACATAAGAAAAACCTCCAAGTTATTAACCCTTCGAAAAAAATAATTGAACACAATGAAAGCAGCTGAATTTGCGCAAGTTAAAATAGACTCGTGGGGTTAAAATAAGAACATAAGATATTAGATCATTAGAAAATATGTAATATCCAATCCAGAGTTAGAAAGATAAAAGAACATATATTCATCGCAAATGCAGTTCAATGAATTTTAATGATGTGGCTAAGCCTATGACACACTGATTTACTCATAATGTAACCTTTCCCATGTATGTCATCCCGTTTGATTACCTACCGGACAAGAATGATATTATATTACAAAGCATCTGACAAAAGGAAAATAAACCAATCAGCAACTGAGTTAGACATGCAAACGCCTCTAGTAAATCCATAAATGTATCAACCATAAATTACACTAGAGTTCAAAATAGAAAGAAGCAGTTCAGCTCTTCGATTTGGAATGCTTTACAAGCCAGTCTATAACAGAGTCAATGTTGGTCGAGTTTTTGCACGAGATCATGAAGCAGCAAACTTCCCTGTCAATGATTGACTTCAATTCCCTGCACACCATAGTATTTGTCAGCACTGAAGTAGTTTGAACACATAGAAAAGAAAATTGAAAGGAGAAAATGAATTCTTAGTTCTATAACTTTCTACAATTACTTTACTCCTTTATTGCTTCATACTTATATTAGGTCTTACATTTGGTCGGTCAATGCTTGCTTAGACAGAGCGCCTGGTTTGTCAATCTTGTTCCCCAATACCAACAAAGGAATGCCACTCAATGATGGTTTGCTCAGCAAATCATGAAGCTCACTTCTTGATATGCTAAGATTATCTGCATCGGCAGCATCAACAACATAACTGCAGAAATATGGTATGATGTTTAGTTGCTAAGTTGAACAGATTCAGCATTAGACTGTTAGCTCAAAGTGTAAATTTAAAACAAAGTGCGCACGATCCAATTATACAAGTGCAATGGATCTAAGAGACAGAATTCTCAGCAGCAGCAATTGTTACAACCAATTAAAATTGCATTGAAATATAACTAACAAAGTCTTTTCGACACTGGGCAGCAGCAAAGCATACAGATTAAAGTTTTAGGCCAATTATGGTCATTGAAGGATAATAAGTCTGCGTACACCCCTTCATGGATGGACAATTGAATTTATTTATAAATACAAATACACCAGGGAGGAGCCCTTTACTAAGGCATCTGAGCAGCAATTGGTTTTGCATCACTGTCATAGATAAATTTGAAGAACATTGTTTGGGTTCAAGGAAGAAAAAATAATCTCAACCACTAGTTACCATCAAACAAGACTTATTCTGGATGTATCCCAATTACAACAAACACAAATAAACAACTACGCACTTTGATTATCAAACAACCATGAAATGCAACAAACACAAATTGACCTTATATTGATCACTAGACCAGAATCAAAAACATGTAGGCAACATGAAGACTGTACACACAAGTTCATTACAATACAACTTGTACATTAAACATTTATCAGTAATTTGTATCAGTATAAGCATGTAAATTATAATCCTGCCAGAAACATGCATATAAGGGCGCGAGAAAATAGGGAGAGAGAATAATTCAGAAAAAGATAAGAAGTTCGTTACATACACAATAGCAGAAACCGCACGACAGTAACGTTCCCACATGCTGCGGAACCTTGGCTGCCCACCAAGATCCCATAACTTTATTGTAACATTCCCTTTTGTCACTTTCCTCATATTGAATCCCACCTGAAATCAGAGAATAACGAATCGATCAGAATGTTATTTGCCCACGGTATACAGAAAAGTCCGTAAAATTGAATAAACGGAGGAGATAGCAATAATTAAAAGCATTTGGTGAACTTACAGTAGGAATCATGTCTTCACTATAGCCACCAGTCTATAAACCAAAAAGAATAAGTATAAGAAATATTGTCAGTTAGTCAACCTTAAAGATAAACAACTAAATTGCTAAGCGAAAGCCAAAGTGATTATTGTAATCACAGCGACTACATTTACAAGGGAAGTCTTTCCAGCATTCTGAAGTCCAATCAGAGATAACTCCATCTCCTGCTTGAAGAATAGGCTGCAAACAAATTTACAACACAATAAGCTCTTGTTTTCTTGATGAAAGTGATTCACGAAGTTCAGACATAGACTCTAAAACCTAAAAAATGTATAATTTCACTTCCAAGTGTAACATAAACTAAAAATTTGTGCATTAAAAGAGAAAGCAATATTAGGGCAATCAAAAGTAATTTAAAAAAGCACTATTCTGTTTCACACATAAACGAATTTGGAAGTGCAGGACAAAAAAAATCTAATTAGGCGATTTGCCTTCCATACCAATAAGCTTGTATCATTTTTTCACCAGTGACTTCCATATCTACCTTTATTCCAAAAGGTCAAGAAAACATCATTGTCCATTAATTGAAAAATAAAAAGATTATACACACAGACATACATAAATTTCCTATCCACAAGTTCCCCATACTTCTCCAAAATTAAGACGGTGATAACTAGAAAATTTAAGATATCTCGTTTGAAACAAAACCATTCCCGTAGCGTATGAAAGGTGAAAACATTTATAAATTGTGAAACATTACTCACGTGATATATAAATATTTGCATGAGTACAAAAATATTGGAAATCAATACTCCTAAAACATTAGACCACCAACAAATCCTCCCTCTGACAAAAAAAAAAAAAAACGCAGAGCCATACATAAAGTATACACATACAAACTATCAACTGACTATAAAAGGAAAACACAAATACCAGAAACCTGAAAATGAAAAGACCATGAGTGATACAAAGAGCCAATCAATGCGAAAAGCTGACTATTTTTGTTAAAAAAGCTACCTGCGAAGCCAATTGGAGAAAAGCTTCCCACAATCCATTGGTTTTTTTTGAAGACAATTCTGATCGCAAAATTATGCAAAGGGAGAAAGAAATCAGATCTCCTATTTCCTCTTGGTCTACCAAAAAGAGAGAGAAATGCAATCCAATTCGCCTTTTCTCTCTCAAACCTATTCTTCCTCCCTCCCTCCTACTCTTATATAAAAAAAGACACAACAGAATTTTATCTTTTAGTCTTTAACATACAATATCTTCAATATCTCGTTTTATGGTTTAAAATTTTTTAAAGATTTATTCGAATTAACCATACTAAAATCATTCAAGCCATATCTTAAGTTATACAAGGGTTAGTAAATTAACAAAAATATCAAAATATGATCTTATATTTTAAATATTTGTATTTTCTATAAAAAAAAGCATTAAAAGTTATTCAAATTAATACGTATATATACAAAATATTAAAAAATTTGATGCAATAAAAGATAATTATGGAAGAAGTTTTAAGTTTTTTAATTACAAAATTCAAATTCAAACTAAATCTTAAAATTTGTAATTCATTTAATATAACTAATATAATACAAATCCAATTAATTTTAATATAATACATAACTCAGAGTTAACTTAATTTTAATATAATATATAATTCAGAGGTTTACTTGTAAATTTTAATTCTATAATAATATTGTTTTATTACGTAACAATAATCAACTAATTTAAATTTTATAATTTAAAACAAACAAACTCATATTTAAATATTATTTTTTAATCTTAGTATTATTGTGTGTTATTATTATTAGTATTGATATTATTGTATATTATTATTATTATTATTGTTATTGTTTTGTTAAAATAGTTGTGATTAATATTTTCAATAGTTTAAATAAATTTTAATTTTTAAAAAAAAAATAATTTTAAAGCCTTGTTTCATCGCATAATTGGTTAATAAGTTTTAGAACTTTATTAATATCACGACATTAAAAGATGAGAAAAGAAAAAGTAAGAAAGACCAAATTTTATACTTTTCGATTATTAAGAATTTATCTCCAGTTTCTAGTAACCTTTTATAATACTATTAAAAGATTAAGAATTAGAAACCATATTCATTATGTAAACCTATATTTTAGATATAAAAAACTTGAAATAGACTTCTAGATTTTCAATTAAGTAATTTTATATATAATTATTTATTATATTACTTACATGTCGAGGAGATATAGAAGAACAACAAAAAAAAATTTAAAATTTTTAATACGCTAACTTATTATTTACATTGTCAAGAAAATTAGAGTTGTCAAAATGGGTCACAAACCGCAGGCCAACCCGACTCCTTCATGAGTTTGAGCCGGATTGGATTTAAAAATATTGTATT